TCGCCACATCCGCGCCAGCATTGGTTGCTTTTATTCTTGTGGATGTGGGCCAGTCTCTGTGGTGTGAAATGATATCTCATTGTGGTTTTGATCTGCATCTCTCTGATGATTAGTGATGTAGAGCATTTTCTCATGTGCCTTTTTGCCATTCGAATTTCTTCTTTGCGAAAGTTTCTGTTCATTTCCTCACCCCATTTTTTGATGGGGTTGGGTGATTTCTTCTTGTGGAGTTTAACCAGTACCTTGTATATCTTTGACATCAACCCCTTGTCGGATGTATACTTGGTGAATATCCTTTCCCATTCTGTAGGCTGTCTTTGTATTTTGGTCACTGTTTCTTTTGAGGTGCAGAAGCTTCTTAGTTTAAGATAGTCCCATTTGTCTATCTCTGTTTTCACTTGCTCGGCCAGTGGCGTGACATCTTTGAAGATACCATTAGCTTCAATATCATGGAGAGTTTTGCCGACTTTGTCTTCAATAAACATTATGGATTCTGGTCTGATGTTGAGGTCATAAATCCATTTTGATCTTTTGTGCATGGTGTTAGGCAGAGATCTGAGCCCACTTTTTTGCATGTAGCCGTCCAATTTTGCCAGCACAGTTTATTGAAGAGGCTTTCCCTGCTCCATTTCACTTTTTTTGCCCCCTTATCAAAGATTAGATGATTATATGTTTGGGAGGAAATGTCGGTATATTCAACTCTGTTCCATTGGTCTGCAGCTCTGCTTTTGTTCCAGTACCATGCTGTTTTAATTATTACTGCCTTGTAGTAGAGTTTGAAGTTAGGGAGGTTGATTCCTCCCATTTTCTTTTTCCCAAGAATTGCTTTAGCTATTCGTGGGGGCTTATTGTTCCATATAAATTTCAGGAGTGTTTGCTCCATTTCTTTGAAGAATGTCATGGATATAAGTTATTAAGGGCATCCAGATAGGGAAAGAAGAAATTAAGCTCTCACTATTCGCAGATGACATGATACTATACTTAGAGAACCCTAAAACCTCTGCCAAGAAACTCCTAGAAACAATAGGCTTGTATAGTAAAGTGGCAGGCTATAAAATCAATACCCAAAAGTCCATGGCATTCCTATACGCAAATAGTGAAAGAGAAGAAAGTGACATCAAGAAAACAATCCCATTCACAATCGTGCCCCAGAAAATCAAGTATCTAGGAATCAGCTTAACTAAGGAAGTAAAGGACCTGTACAAAGAAAACTACAAAACGCTACTTCAGGAAATAAAAGAGGACACGAGGAAATGGAAAAATATCCCCTGTTCATGGATGGGGAGAATCAACATCATCAAAATGGCAATACTTCCCAAAGCACTGTACAAATTCAATATTCTTTTTTTAAACAGAGTATATATCACCTCCACCAAATGGCAGCATTTTTTGGGGGGTGGGGGTGGGGATAGGAGTAGTTCCCTCACGATAGGATAAAACTAAAAATATATAATATATTATCACATTATTTCCTAAGTTCTGTCCTGTGAAGGACATTGAACGGAAGCACAAGAGGTTCAAGGAAAATAATAATAATATTAACAAAACAATTAAAACCTACCTGTTTTTCCTACTGGTAAAAGTGGAGTGAGACTTTAGAAATGTTAGAAAATTACTCCTGTGTAGCCATCGACAGGTAATGTTGATTATAAATCAAGGTAGGGGGAATGATCCAGGCAGCTGATCTTTTCCATTGGAATGATCTCTGTCCAAGTTAGCATCTTTCTAATATATTCTTTACCTTCTGGGGAATAGTGAGAGTAAAAGAAATAGTTTGCATTGATTGCTCCCTAAGTGCCAGTAACTGTGCTGGAAGTTATTTTCACCCTCTAAAAACTCACAGTTGCTCTGAGTTTTGGAGATTGTCCTCCTATTGTAGATGAGATGGCCAAGAAAGATTTGCCTGAGTAGTAAGACTCAGAATCCAGCAAATAAAAAATCCCAGAGCCCATGTTCCTTCCTTAGCACTATATTCCTTTCCCAAGAGGTTTAGGTTTCAAAATACAGAACAACAAAAAAACCCAAGTTTTTCTTCTCACCTTTTTTTTCTAAACACTAGATTTGCTGCATCTGCTACTGAAAGCAAAGCCTCTGATAAATTCTTACAAAATAAAATTACATTTTCTTCTGTATGTAAATTGGCAGAATATGAAAGATTGCTTTCTCGTGTCTGTCTTGTTAACACCTCAATGGTTTCCTGTTAAGGAACTGTGTATTTAAGGGGAACGTCTTGCAAGTTGGAAAATGCATCTGGGGAAGAAGCAGCCTCACAGTGATGCACTGACCACCGTTACTCTTCTGCAGGCATTTTCAGTTTTAAACACCAGAGACTTTGCAACACATTGCCTGTCCACATCACTCCACTCGCTAGGCTAACAAAAGCAGACCACATGTTGCTAAAGCTGCTGAGTTCCTCAAAGCAGCAGTGAATTTTACTGTTCCTCCCAGTCCTGGGGTCTGTAATGCTACATCATTTTTAAGAGTTTTCCAAAACATGACTTGGTAAAAATGACCCCTTCTCATTTCTATTATCTGTTTATTTCCCTAGAAAAAACAAGTTTTGTAACTACGTAAAATCACTGGCATTTTAGATGGATCAGCATTTTTTTGTCTTACTGTAGCTAATTCCCAATGACAATAACGTATGTCTAATAAGTACCAGGATAATGTCTCTAGACTTTTTAAAAATGTGTGGAAGATTCCTAGAAGTGTCAACATTTCTACTTCAGCAAAAATCTAAATGTCTGTGTAATTACAATGAGTTCACGGGGGACGGGGTGGAGTTGGGGGGAGAGAGATTCTGCTTTAGGACCTGAAAAAAATGGTAGAAAATAAAAGAATTAGCATAGTTTAAAGCAACTTAGCTAAAGATTTTATAGTGGGGATATACAAGATGGGAATTTTTTCAAAAAAGTGAGTTCCAGCAATTTTATTTTTTAATTACAGGCATTTACTCTAAGACATGTGGGTTACTTGTTAGTTCTTCATGCTGATTATGTCCTTTGATAACAAGGTGAAATTTCATAAATCCACCAGAAGAGACATGGCATGATTGAGTGGATTGATGATGTTTAAAAATGCATTTCAGGAGCGATAGCACAGCGGGTAGGGCGTTCGCCTTACAAGCGGCCAACATGGCCGACCCGAGTTCGATTCCTCCGCCCCTCTCGGAGAGCCCGGCAAGCTACCGAGAGTATTCGATATGCCAGACACAGTAACAACAAAGTCTCCAATGGAGACATTACTGGGCTCGCTCGAACAAATCGACGATCAACGGGAGGGCCTTTACCTTTACCTTTACACAAATTCATTTATTGGACAAACATTTGAGTTCCTACTGTGCGAAGCACTGTTCTAGGTGCAGTGGAAAACCATATGCATATTTCTTGCTTTTAGGATTATGAAATACATGGATTTGTTTCTGTAACTATTAGCCAGATGTTTATTATTTATTTATTTATTTATTGCTTTTTGGGTCACACCCAGCGATGCACAGGGGTTGGTTACTCCTGGCTCAGGCACTCAGGAATTACTCCTGGCGGTGCTCGGGGGACCATATGGGATGCTGGGAATCGAACCCGGGTTGGTCTCGTGCAGGGCAAATGCCCTACCCGCTGTGCTATCGCTCCAGCCCCAGCCAGATGTTTATTAAAATAACTTTTCTTGACATTTACCTGGCAGAATTATTTTCTGAAAATAGTTTTTATGCGAAAATTTAATTTAGGAACACATTTCCTAAATGAGTAGTAATGGAAATTTTCTAGTTAAAAAGTCTTTGAAGATCCTTCTTTGTGTAATTTTTAGAGTTTCTTTATATAGTCAAAAGAATATTTTATATCCAAAATATGTATGGGGTATGAAAAAGGGTTTTTTTTTCTATTTCAGAAAATTCTTTGCAATTTGCTTTTATTTACAGTGCCAATGTTTATTAGGTCCCTAAGTTAACTGTACAATAAACTAGGTAAAAAACACTTTACGAAAAAAAAAAAAAAGGGAAAGCCCAGTGACCCAAGAGATAATACAGCTTGCTGTGCATGCGGCCGAACAGTTTGAATGCCCAGTACCCTATATGGTCCCCCAAGTACCACCAGGAGTGATTCCTGAGCGCAGAGCCAGAAGTACCCTGAACACCACTGGGTGTGCCAGACCTCCTCCATTCCCCTCAAAGAGACCAATCCCCAAATGCCACTTTCTACAGAGAACCCATGGTTCAGTTTTATTCACAGCCAAAAAAAGAAAGAAACGTTTGGTCTTAGTAAAAGAAATTCAAACCATTAATCTGAAATCTGTACTCAAACTGTACATGCAATGAGGATGATATTTTGTGAATACAATTGATTTGCTGCTGCATTTGTCTACATTTTCTCTCATTAACAATGATAGGGACTAGATTATAGCACAGCGAGTAGGGCATTTGCCCTGCACGAGACCAACCCGGGTTCGATTCCCAGCATCCCATATGGTCCCCCGAGCATCACCAGGAGTAATTCCTGAGTGCCTGAGCCAGGAGTAACCAACCCCTGTGCATCGCTGGGTGTGACCCACTAAGAAAAAAAAAACAATGATAAACAGAGCAGTGCAACTAGTATTTGGACTGTCAGGCACAGCAATTCACTTTTCTTCACACCAGCTTATAACTAGGAAGTCAACCAAGGTCTTAGAAGCTAATAAAGCAACTGTATGATTTATATATTTTTACTCATTGTATTGTACAAATTCTGTCTGTCCATTTATCTTCAGCACCTTAGGGCTGGGACAATCATTTCATTGGATTATTGGGGACAGAACTTTCTTTCCTAGTAGGGGAGTGAATAATAGAATAATAATAGAAGCTCCAAAGTTTCTATCTAAATACTTGACAACATCATAGTTATCTGAGAAAAATGGATAATTTCTCAAGCATCCTTGTAAGTCCAGCTCGCTTAACTAGTCCTCTAGGCACACCCGGGGGTCTCCTCTGAGCTGATAATTCATTTCACACTTTTACACCTGCTCCACAGTCTCACCGAGAGGGCGCAGCTGCTCAAGAATGTCTTTAAGAAGAACCACGTGAACTTGTACCGGTCCGAGTCCTTGCAACAGAACCTGCTCCGTAAGTGTTTGAGTCCTTCTATTTAAATAAATCCTCTGTTGCTCCTCAACAGCATTGATGAAAGCAGTGGGAAAATTTTACTCTAACACCTAAAACACGTTTTGCATATTTGCAATGTGTAATGTAAATACCAAATGTCTAGTAGACCTCATTCAGCTTGGATTTTCAACCACCATGGCAGGGGCTATGTGCTACTCCCTGGTTGTAAAAAGGTTGAAAACCAGTGGTTTCCAGAATTCTTTGACTGCAGCCATCTCACTTGTAGCCAAGGGAACACTTTAAAATCTTGCTATTTATTTCACTTGAAAATCAATATTTCCATATGCCCTTTGCTTCCTTAAATCTTAAAAAGAACATGTAAAATAAATATTCACTCTTAAAAGCTGCCTCTATATTGTTGTCTTTTCTACTTGAATAACTTTGCAAGAGCCTTTTTAGCTTTCATCCACACAATGAAACATATATTTTACCTTCAAAAATATGTATGAATATGGAGAGTGGCAAGAAATTATTAGGTATTACCCCTCTTAATATTTCAAGTTCCAAAAAGAAATATATAAAGCCCTGTAGTAAATGTGTTTATATGAGTAATTTATCTTTTGTTTCATGTTTCCACATGTAATTTACTTTCACTAATATATACAAATGTTAATGTTTTGGCTCTTTTTATTTTAAGAAACCTTTTCTAAAGATGTGATCCCCCAGGAATGGTGACTTCTCCCTATACCCACTATAGCCATGTTGGGACATGAATAACTTTATTTGTAGATAGCAACAGCCAAGGAGAATGTGGTCTAAAGAAAATCAACCACTTTTTTTTTCTTTTTGGGTCACACCAGCATTGCACAGAGGTTACTCCTAGATCTGCACTCAGGAATTACCCCTGGCGGTACTCGGAGGACCATGCTGGGAATCGAACCTGGGTCGGCCACATGCAAGGCAAATGCCCTACGCACTGTGCTATTTCTCCAGTCCCGAAAGGCAACCATTTTTCTCTACATGTATCGTGTCCCTACCTCACTTTTTTTGGTCCTTCCCTCTCTTCTGTCTCAGCTCTAAAGAAACCATTTGCCTACTTTATTGGCCTTTCCAGCCCCCTCTCCATAGCTCAGAAACAGAACTTAGATGAGATGAACTTGAGAGGCTAATTGGAGTGGGGCTTGGGATTAGAATTGCCTCCTCCTTCCCTCGGGGAGCAGAATTCATACACTCTTAAGTTTTCCACCTACAGCCATCCCTTTCTTCATTTTGCACTTGAGTCTGTTTCTTTCCTTGACATTCAAAATGATCATTTCCATGCTTTTGAAAGGCAGGAAGTTGCATTCATTTCCAGGTTAGAAAATGAGCCCTCCAGAGTGAACCAAGTCCAGCATCTTCTTGATGCTGATTTCTACTTGCTCTGTAACTTTCAGATGGATATGCCTTCTCTCAAGATGAAAACGGGATCGTGTCACAGTCTGAGGTGATCAGAGCATATGATACCACGAAGCAGAGACCTGACGAATGGTGATGGGAGAAGCCGCAAGGTGGGCAGGGATGGCGAATCTCAGTGGAGAACGCTCATCCTCCCTGCCGACTGCAGACCCAATTCCAGCCTGGTGCAAGGAGATGAAAGGCGGATCTGAGCTCACTAGTTGATTGGCAGCGTTCAGATTCCTGTACATTATAGACGTAAGCACTGTGCAACTCTACTGTAACATCATCTCTTTCAGATGTTAAAAAGTACTTGCAAAGTCTTGTAAACAAATTGAAAATGACCTTGTATCTTGCCAGGGGGCTTTTCTTAAATAGAAAATAGGTTTGTGGGCTTACATCACACCCTTACTCTGGGGCTGAAACAATTGAGTGTATAAATCTGAAGATGACCAACCATTCAAAACACTCCAACATGGTAAACAAGTTCAAAGGACTCTTGATATCTAGACTTAGATTTCAGGATATGCCAAAAACAAGACAAAACAAAACAACCAGCGTTCTTAAGGAACTGACCCGCCTTACAGAGGAAGATTTCTAAATGGGACATTACTAAGATTTTGTGTCAGAAATGGTCTTGAGAAATGTTTGCCAAAGAAGTTCAATAAATGCATTTCTTACTTAGTAGTCATTTGCCCAGAAATTTCCGAGAAAGCTCAACTCCTGCTCTTCTGTAAGATAAGACCTGCATGTCCAGCTTTTCCCACCTTAAGAGTGATTTACACAGATGAGTCTTTTCAAGGCATTTGCTACCAACATCTGTGATGTTACCTCTGGCCTTACAAACGCTTCTTTCCTGTTTGTCTTGTTTAACTGTGCAAGTTAGACGGCATGCGTGGTGATGTGATTCTGTGGTTACATGCTAAGTTTTAAAACCATGCCTGTGTTTCAGTCATTTCTGGTGAGGTTTAGTCATCTCACTTTATCTAAAGTTCTATCTTCTGTCGTGAGAGTGAGTGCTGTTGTTGTGTCTTCAAGTTTTCTCTCTTAAGACACCTGTTAATCTGTGTATGAGTGTGTGGAATTTTCAGTGCTGCTGCTGAGACCTTTGGAATACCATGTCCCAAGATATGCATGAGCTTTTGTAAAATCCGTAGCTCAGCTTTTATATTGTGTTCTGGTTCTTCTGATTTCTTCCCACTCAAGCTGCCTGCTGTCTCAGATATCACACCCAGGACTGTGGTGACTGCCTAAGACAGAGAAATATTTAACAGTTCACTTGTCAGGCAATGACAAAATTGGTCACATGCTGCTAATTGGGACAAACAAGTAGTATGTTTCCCCCCTATTAAAAATACCTACTTAACTCAAGCCTATAACCCCAAAACTCCTTTCCATTCTGAGTGTTTCTTTAATATGTTTTAAATGTATGTGCAGTTTATTTTCAGCATTTCCAAGACATTTCCCGAAGATGCCTATTTTGCTATCAACAATGTGGTAAAGGGGCTGTTTTAAAACCACAACTAGTTTTCTACACTGTTTTTAAAATAACACTTTCATTTAAGAAAGAAAAAAGAAAATAAACTAGTTTTCCGATACACTTTAGAGATTGAAGCAAACTTTTTGCCTTTTTATTCAGAATCCTGTTTGCCTTTAAGTGAACTTACCAGCAAAATAGGTAGAACTTCCTCTTTAGAAAACATATATATACATACATAGATATACATATTACAGAGAGAGAACCCATTAGAGTTGAGAAGTGGTGATTTTTTTCAAATCACCCTTTGAGTTTAGAAATTTCACTTTCTTTTTTTGTCCATTTTCTCAATGTAGATTTAAAATTTGGCCAATCCCATGTCCTTGTTTATATTTTTGCTGTTAAGTTACAAACCTCCCTCCCATGTTTTCTACAAGTTAAGAGAAGTTATCATTCAAACCCGTAGGGCACAAGGGTTGAGGATATTTCACTCCCCATCCCCTTTCCAGCTGGTTCTCCAAAGAGTAGAATTGTGGATTAGAACCATCTGGGAGGACCACAGGTGTAAGAACCTCAGATAACCTACAAAATTCTACCCGCTCTTGATGGTGGACTTTGCTGCCAACGGTTGAGGCCCACAGACAAGGAAAAGAATATTATAGCTGTTTCTATTTGTTTGTTGCTTCTTTCCCAAAATCTTTATATCAAATCTTATGAATTCAATAGAAGCAAAAGGTCTGACTTAAATAAGAAAAATCAAAGTTTTTTTATTTCTCATGAAACAGATTATTTCTGTGGGAGTCTTCAGATGAATGCATAAGATCAGGATCTGAAATCTGATTGGTTTATGCATTCTTTGTTCCATTTTTAAAAAGTTAGCAGGCAGCCCATGTCTTGGCTGCATGGATGGGAATGGAAGGATGGGAAGCCATGAATAATATCGTTGGTAAAACTTAAAATATGATGCTGCAATCACGGTGACTTTGGAGTGGGAAAGTCCAGAATACCCTCAGATATTTTTTAAAGCTTTCCTGAATGGAGGGAGGCAGAAAAATCGATGCAGTTTTATGGGAATGAAAATATACAAAGGGACTTTTGAACATAATTTTCTCAAATAAAGGACATGGACTCTTCAGTTAAGCAAAATTTAAAAAAAAAAAAAGTCTCTTGTAGGGACTCTAGCAAAGGCTAACACCGTTGTTTTAAAAATGTTTACAATTCAGAAAAATGCTACTTTGAGCTGGAAATCTTCATTCATTTAAGTATTGAAAACCTGGGGGTTGCTCCTTTTAATGTTTGTTAGTGCTTACAAAAATATAAAGATGTTTCACACTTAGAGTCTGTCTAGCAGAAATGATTAGCAGGAAAATGTCGTTTCTCAGGAATGTAGTGAATTTTAAATGATATATGTGCTACCTACTGTCCAACACCCTTGCCTGTGTCTAATGTGAACCTGCTTCAGCAATGTGGCAAAGTGAATGAAAAACGTTTGCCTGTTAAGTCTAATGACTGCGTATTCTGCCTGATGATATTAGCCATTTACATGAATTCTATGATCATTACAAACTTAGGGGAATTGGAGATTCCTCTAAGTTTCTGGATGGGGTATGGGGTGGGCGGGAGGGAGGGGGGCTGGGATGAATTCAGAAGCTCAACATTTATTCTGAGAGTTAAATTTTATATTTTAATTATTCAGTTCAGCACTCCAGATGTCCATTTGTAAAAGTCATATGATCGTTTATTCTGTATTGTGTACATTGTACAGCTTTTAGAACCTGTTGACTAAGATGTTCTTTCAGGAAAAGAATGCTAATCTGAAAGTAATAGATTGTGTATTCATAATTATTTTAGTTATAATAACAATGCCATAATTATCGCAAAGCTAAATAATTACTAGGTTCTCTTTATGTACTCTCTGAAAATTCCTGGTTTTAAACATTTAATCAAATAAATCTATAATATTGAATTAGTCATTGATAAAATTTGCTGAGAAAATGCCCCATTCACATTACATGAATTAGATTATGGATTTTTTTTGTAAATCACTTATATAACCATGCAATTTGGTGCCTCATAGATGCTTTTTAGTGATGAATATTTCTGCACTGTTTGGTCAAGATCATCTGATTTTTTTTCACATTAAAACAACTGAAATCACTTGTGAAACAGTAATAATTTGCCGCAATCTAATTAACCTCCAACAGATATTCAAATGGAATGTCAGTTAAATTTTGAAGAAGAGAAAATAAGTGTTTTCCATTTTTCATCTTGATTTATTTTCTATATGAGAGCAGCTGTGTTTTTGATAGGTTTATGGTTTGCATGAATTGATATTTAAAGCCGCCTAGGCCAGTGCATGGCTATTGCTGTAAATCTTGATGTTTATTTCTGCCTTATAAAATTCTATCATGACCTACCTGGAATTTAATATCCAGTGGACAAATGAATTGGTTTTCTGCACAACTCTTTCTTAGTATGTGAATTATTTTGCAAATTTGAACAAGTTTAATTGAAACTTTTTTGGTTTAGCTTGCCTCTAAGAACTTGTCTTAATAAAGCTCACAAAACTTCTCAGAAAATAAATCTCCCTTAAGTAGGAAAAAGCTAGATTTCATACTGACTTACTTTGAATTAGCAGCAACTTTCCGTAGATAAATCTGCTTTTGCAAAGATGTGAGCAGAACATTAAAAAATAATAATAAATATTTTATACCTGGTGGTTATAGAATAGAAGCCATAGATGCAGTGATACTGTTTGTTGCTTAACTGTTTCAAGATTCATTTTTCACATTTTCTAACGTATTAGGCTTTGGGAGGCAAATACTAAGGAAAATTACAGTTTGTATTCAGGGTAAAATACCATTTTTGACTCCATGAAGAACCATTCCTGCTGAAACTGCTGTAGAATTCGTGACGCTGCATGAGTGGAAAGTAGTAAATCTGTGATCTTAGTAGTTTTCTCAGGTTTGATTATCTCAATCTTCAGTGCACTTGTGTTTTATAAGTAGTTACTGGAAAATATTCAGTTCTATGCAGTGTCGTGTGTCATTGGCCTTTTGTGAATGTGCATGTTTTAAACTGCAAATTTTAAACATTTTATCTTCTAATTGTTATTAAAATAAAATAAACTTACCAGTACATGAAGACAGTTGTGGGCATGTTCATTGTTTTAGAAATGATTTTGTTGTATGAAACTTTCAAGGCCACAATATAGTCTGAGAAAATGTACTCATCTACATGTGCTTCAGCATTTTGTTTACATACCCAGTTCTAAATATGCAAACACATTTCGTATATAAATGTTCTCCATTTTAATCCACCTAGATGAAACATGAGGCAGAGTTTATTAACTCTTGTTTGTGTGTGTGTGTGTGTGTGTGTGTTTGTTTCTTGTGCCATACCTGGTGGTTCTCAGGGCTTACTCCTGACTCTAAGCTCAGAGATCACTCCTGTTGGTGCTCAGGGCACCCTATGTCACAGGTGCCAGGAATATGACCCTGTTTGGCCACATAAAAGACCAGCACCTTATTGGCTGTACCACCACTCCAGCCCCAACTCTCATTTTTCGAGGGGTAGCTTTGATAATTAAGTGTTAAAGATTTCTAAAATAAAATTTAGATTGGATTTTTGAGTCAGAAATAACCTCCAAAGATTATTGTCCCTTCACTTACTTAAAATCACTTAACTTTCCGTTAGTCGTCGATTTGCTCGAGTGGGCACCAGTAACGTCTCCATTTGTCCCTGTCGCGTGCTAGTGTAGCCCAATGGCATCTGTTCGCTCCGGGAACATGAAGGGCCTCAAACCGATCGTTCATGATCTTGACGAAGAAGTCTGACCATCTGGAAGGTGGGCGGCCACGCGGTCTTTTGACATCCCGTGGAATCCAGTCAGTAACAGCTCTAGTCCAGCGGTCATCTTTAAATCTCATTACGTGACCAGCCCATCTGATTTTCGACACCTTGGCAAATGAGACAGCGTCCCTGATTCTTGATCGTCGACGGATGTCAGAACTCCGGATTCTTTCTCTCATTTGAGTGAAACGTGATATTCCAAGCATAGCTCTTTCTATTCTTCTTTGGGAGACCTGAATAGCGTTCTCATCTTGTTTGCGTAGGGCCCAGGTCTCTGAGGCATATGTTAATGCAGGAAGAACAGTGGAATCAAAGAGATGTGCCCGGAGCCGGAGGTTCTTCGTCCTCTTAGCTATTTCTTCGACGTTCTTGAAGGCGTTCCAAGCCGCTCTCTTCCTCCTGCGCAGCTCGGGTGCCAGGTCATTTGTCATGTTGACCTCTCGACCTAGGTACACATAGCTGTTGCATTCGGAGATGGTCGTTCCATTGAGAGCGAATGGGGCGTCAGGAACAAGGCTGTTTCTCATAAACATTGTCTTCGTAAGATTCAGCTGTAGTCCTACCTTTCCACACTCACGGTCAAAGTCGGCCAGCATTTGTGCCGCTTGGCTGATGTTTGGTGTTATTAAAACAATGTCATCAGCAAAGCGGAGGTGGTGTAGTTGCCGACCATCTATCTTCACTCCCATTCCTTCCCATTCCAGTCGTCGCATGATGTTCTCGAGGGTGGCACTGAAGAGTTTCGGTGAAATGGTATCACCCTGTCGCACCCCTCTCTTGATATCAACGATCACTTCTTTGTAGAATGGTGAGATCCTGGTAGTGAATCCGCAATACAGCTCACGGAGGATCCTGATGTATTGGGCTTGAATGCCCTGATTGGCTAGGGCTTCAATGACCGCTTCCGTCTCAACAGAATCAAAGGCCTTTAGATCAATGAACGTTAAACAGAGCGTCATCTTGAACTCCCGAGAAACCTCAATGAGCTTGGTTATTGTGTGGATATGGTCGATGGTGCTGAATCCTTTGCGGAACCCTGCTTGCTCGCATGGTTGTCCTTCATCTAGTGTTCTGCCAATCCTATTTAGGATGACTCGAGTGAACAACTTGTAGATGACAGACAATAGGCAGATCGGGCGATAGTTGCCAATGTCATGGATGTCTCCCTTCTTGAACAGTAGTACGGTCCTGCTGGTTTTCCATTGGGACAGAACCTTGCATTCAGACAGCGAGTGAAGAGCCGAGCCAGTGTATTGATGAGTACTGACGGCAGGTTCTTCAGGTGTTCAGGTCTGACCTTGTCTGGGCCGGGTGCTGTTTGTTTCTTTAGCAACGAAATGGCGTGTCGGATTTCAGAAGGGAGAACGTTGGGAACGACATATCCATCCTGTGGAATTTGGTATGTCCGCAAGTGGACATGGCTATCGAAGATTTGTCGTCGATTTGCTCGAGCGGGCGCCAGTAACGTCTCCATTTGTCCCTGTCGCGTGCTAGTGTAGCCCAGCCGTCTCCACACTCCAGGACGCTTTCCGGACCCGCGTGGCAGCTCCGGCCGAGACCCATGCACGACTGAAGACCCACAGAACAAGATAAGCGGAACTCTCTGAGACCTTGGACTCCAGGCTCAGCGGACCCAGGGACAGAGCTTCTCTGCTTGCTCCCACCACCACAGGTGACAAAGGGATTCTAATCAGGAGCCCCACCCTACCCTGCCCTGTCTGCTTCCATCAACCACCCAGGGATGGAATTGCGCACAGGAGACCCACCCTACCCAGATAAATACCCCACTGGCCGACTTCCACTCTCGACACTACTTCCACTACCCAGCCGTCGCCACACTCCAGGACGCTTTCCGGACTCACGCGGCCGCTTGCGACACATCATAAGACACTAAATACCCATCTTCCGGAATTGTCGTACCATATTTGATAGGGTTCAAAAATGGTAACACCTACAAGGGTGATTAGAGGTCGCCCCAAAAGCCTTTACCCCTCTCGGAAAGACTGGTAAGCTACCGAGAGTATTCCGCCCGCACGGAAGAGCCTGGCAAGCTATCCGCTGTGTATTCGATATGCCAAAACCAGTAACTACAACTGGTCTCATTCACCTGACCCTGAAGGCTTCACCGACATGGCAGCACTGAGAAGGATGAGAAAGGAGAGGCCGACAAAATCTCAAGGCCGACGTATGCTGCCACAACGAAGGAAGACAAAATTGTACCTAAAATACATTAAATTTATCCGGCAAGTCAACACCTAGTTCCTGGCTTTTTCCTTTCACAGAAGTTGAATTTCTAAACTTTTCCAGTTTTTCCATGGTCAGCCAGGAAGATTCGAAGTCAGCACACTTAACCCCACTTTGATCCTAAGCATCACTTAGGGACCCCTGAGCACCACCAAGAATGACCCCTGAACACTACATTCAGAAAATAATAATAATTGTCCTAAGGCAAAAGTAACATCAGAAATGAGGAAAATAGCTTTTTAAAATTTATTTATTTATTTATTTATTTAAATGGATGAACAAGGAATAACTGAAGCTGCCATTTGGAAGATGCTAGGGTGGGATTTGTTCACTAAGAAGCACGGGAAAGCTGCTTGAAGCACCTTGAATGAGGCTCCAGTGAGTGAGGCTGCATGTGTCTGGCTGTCTGGATCTGTCCTTGCCCACAGTCCTCCAGGGAACAGAGATTGGGTCCCCCTTGCAAAACCACAGCCAGACTTAAGCACAGAAAAGGTACCTGTGAATTCTATCAAGTGATTTTCACATTCAACTCCATTCCCCTTAAAATAAACACTATTTATGGCTGACCCTGTAGTTTAAAATACCTTCTTAAACGACCATAAGGAAATAGCAAACTTGAAATACATTCCCATAAATTCAATACGTCATCCCCATTTAAAATTTGTTTTTATATGTTCGTAGCATTGCTAACCTAAAGCTTCCATTTCAGTAACAGAACCACTCATTTTAATGAAGAAATATCCTCCTAGCCTGGATAATTTCACCAGGAGGCTAATAAAAATTGTTGGAAAATAGGGAATATTTTTACCCTTCAGTTTTGATTGCAAGTGCAAACTCTTATAACTAGCCGTCAAAAATTCTGTCAGGACAATCTCATTAAAAATTTTCAAATAGAATTTCAGAATAGCCATCTACATATAAAAATATGTTAATAGTTTGTTTCATTGATCCTTTAATATGCCCGTAAATTCTTATTTTTCCTGAACATGAACTAAATATGCTTTTCAGGTGATACAAAGCATAAATTGGTCCCAGCCTAATAAAGTGTATCAGTTTCCTAATTGAAATTGTTAATTTTTTTTTCAGGAAACTTGAATTATCTCCTTCAAGAAAAATAATTCCCTATGCTTTTAAGTCAATCTAGCAAATTCACCATGAGTAGCTAAAACTAATACTAATAAAGGTAAATAATTGGGTGAAGTGAGAAATGAACAATTTATTCACTTGCAGCAACTGAAAATACCATCTCTTGGCTCTGAAATGAAAAACCATCTTAAAGCAAAATGACTGCATTGAATACATTTTCTAAAGCAAATGACTAAATATATAGACCATGAGTAGCAGAGGTGGAGGGTGTTGTTCCTAGCAATCATGGAAATTTGGCCAGGCTGGGCATGTGATGTCAAACATCAGGCCAATTTCTCAGTTGCCTGCCCTCTAGCCACTCTTTCAACTGCGCACATTCTTATTCTCAGGCATTTCATCTGTTTTCTATTATTTATCATTAACTTATTACCTAGCTCCCTCTCCACAACATGCCAGTAATCCAAGACCATGTAATTTCTGATTTTTTAACAAACCATACCAATGAGATATCATTAATATCTTCATCTTACAAATGATAAAACTGAAACAGCAATGAGGCCCCAACATCACCCAGCTTTTCAGTGGGAAAGTCAGAAAACGAAGTCAGACACTGGGTCTCCCACATGCATGCTAATTACCTCCTCTCAGTTTCTCGTGTGCAAAGGGAGAGATGTTTGACAGTTAGGATTTCTAGTGAAGCTTTATATTATTCTATGTTTTCCTGATCTAGAGCAAATTTGACAGACTGTTAAAATCTCCTGCTGTCTATAGAATAGGTACATATAACCATATTTCCCCCGGTCAATTCATTGGGAAGATGGATAAATTTTTCCAAAGAAAATCAGGCCTTACAAAAAGTGTCATGAAGAATGTAACTTTCCAGGGCTAGAAATATAGTACGTGGTATTTGACTTGCAAGGTAACTACCTGGGTTTCATCTCTGGCACAACATATGGTCCCAAACCACACCAGGTGTGATCCCTGAGGGTAGAGCCAGGAGTATGTTAGTAATCTCTGATGACCTCTGGGTGTGGCCCAATAGCAAAAATAAATGGATGTAGTATTTCCAACCAGCCCAAACGGAGTTCAAATCTTGCTTTTGTGATGCCATTGGGCCCTGGGTGGAGCCATTCTGCTTTGATTTCTTCCTGTCCAAAACAGGCATGAAAATAGTCCTTACTTCAGAGTTGAGGAGATTAAAGATGCAATTCATAAAGTACTTGGAACACACTTGAGTCTCTATCAATGCCACCAATTGTTTGCTTAACTACCTTTCAAAATAGAGAACAGTCATTCTTCAGTCATACATGAAGGATGGTTAAGTCTTCCAATCCACTGTGAAAGTAGCAAAGTAGCTAAAGAAAGTGGCTGCTGTAGTTGGATCTCATGATAGTCATGGTGAGCCTCCTTGGAACTCTCAAATGATTGGCTTTGACCCTTAATGTCTTATCTTTCAAAACTGAGGATGTGTTAGAGTCCACCATCTTTTTTTCAAAAGATTTTCCCTACTGCTTCTTATGACCACTATGCTCTCTGACTGGAATTTGCTTCTCAATCCACTCTCCTACATTTGCCGTCTGATTTCCACAATGTTCCTTGATGTTTCATACTCACAAGAACTCCTCTGCATTTCTCTGATTGCTCTTCTCAACAGTCTCCCCTAGTTTCCAGCTTTCCTGTCTCTCCTTTTTCCTACCTGCTTGCTACCCTCAGATCCCATTCGCTCCTGAAGGTGATCCAGCCAGGAAGAATGGTTGCTGTGTCTCTGAACAGTGAGGGAGTGAGTAGGTTTGGTGAGCTGCGGACCATTGTGCACTTCCCTTAGCAGTTTCAGTGAATAGAATGAAGCCTCAGTATTTAGAGGCTCACCATCCTCCACCTTACTAAGTTCCCAAGAGATCAAGAAAAATAGCATTTTTCTATGAAAAACCTATAACCTCACAAATATCTGAAATCGAGTCTAAAATCTATGCCAACCATGGCTCTGCCCATCACAGCAGCATTGTGTTCTGCTCAGCACTCCCAACCACCAACACAACGCCTGAGCCACAGATGCTGCAATCTACCGAGAGTATTCTGCCCACACGGGCAGAGCCTGGCAAGCTCCCTGTGGCATATTCGATATGCCAAAACCAGTAATGGTAGCAGGCCTCATTCCCCTGACCCTGAAAGAGCCTCCAATCATTGGGAAAGACGAGTAAGAAGAGGCTGCTAAAATCTCAGGGCTAGGAGGAATAGAGACGTTACTGGTGCCTGCACAAGTAAATCGACAAATAACGGGATGACAGTGATACAGAGATTCCTAACTTCCAGAGAAAAGTAGATACATCTCTATGTCGACAAGAATGCTGGGGGCATGCTTTGATCCAGGGTCACTGAATTATATACAGTGAGGTATATAATGTCTCCCAACTTAGGCGGCACCACACCAAGTTCAAGGAACTGAGCATGCAGTACCAGGAATCAAATCAGGGACTCCCAGATGCAAAATGGGAGTGCAGGCTCTTCAATCTATCTCTCTGGCCCCAATGCCTTCCCATTTGGAGGAAAAAGGTCAGGGCTTGTGATGTTTAGCCCTTATTGCTGGCTCTGTGCTTAGAGATCACTCCAGGCAGTGCTTAGGGGACTTAAGGTTGTCCCAGGGAATGAACCAGTGTTGGCCCCAAGCAGAGCAAACACCTTAACCTCTCTTCTGTATCTTTGGTCCCTACCTCCCAATTTTAAAAAGCTATGGTCAGTTTCTTGGAACATCCTGCCAAGGAAAAGGTGCAGTTATCAGCTTCCTGTGTTCCTTAGCACTGTTCTGTCCAATGTTTATAAACTTCTCACCAAATGGATGGCAAATAATAAATAAATAAATAAAGCCACTAGAGGAACCTGAGAAACAAGGTTTCAGTGGGGGGAGTTCTACCTCAAGAGGACAAGGTAGAATTGAGTTGGGAGGTGCATCTTTGGTATCAGAGTGGGGCCTGGGGCCTTATGTGCTATCAGCATCCAGTGGATGTGACTCGATTAGGATAAAATGCCATAGTACACAAGACAGTCCACACACCAAAGATTTGATGTCCCTGGGCATGACTTTTCCCACTAATTCTTTTAGTGGAGAAATCTCTTGCCAGTTTACCTATAAGATGTTTCTTGCACTGTTCTAATATATACTAAGTATCCATCTACTGTGCAATTCAGAAGGTCAAATTTGCTTTGGGAATATCCCACAAACAACATTGGTGCAACCATGAGGTCAAGTGGCCAGTCCATACACCTGAGTCAGTTTGGATTTGAAACTGTGCTATTGCGGTGGCCCTGCACACAGAGTCATATCTGAGCCTCCTCTTAATTCAATCTGCCCAAGTCCCAACATTTCAAAATCATTCACCTTTTTCTTGTCTCCATTGTATTTAGTACTAGACCATTGTGTTGGGAAGATTCAATGATAAGTGGAGTGAGAAATATCATTCATGAACTGCACTGGAACGATAGCACAGCGAGTAGGGTGTTTGCCTCGCACAAGGCCAACCCGGGCTTTATTCCTCTCAGAGAGCCCGGAAAGCTACAGAAAGTATCCTGGCCGCACGACAGAGCCTGGCAAGCTCCCTGTGGCATATTCAATATGCCAAACACAGTAACAACAAGTCTCACAATGGAGATGTTACTGGTGCCCGCTCAAGCAAATCAATGAACATCCAACGGGAGGACCGTGCTACAGTACTACAGTGCACTGTAGCATACTTAGAAGGATATCACAATTGTTTGCTCTAAAGAGAGCTCACTAAATCGGATGGAGTAACTGCCTCAAAGAAAAGTACTGAGTCCCCTTGCTTCAGTCTCAAGGTTCTTGCTCTCCTGCTCTTTGAGTCTGATTTCACTTCCAGCTCCAATACTGACTCGCTCCAGGACCTTGGGCAAGTGACTTTTCTCTTCTCTGTGCCTCACTTTTCAATTGTTACTTGGAAGATAAAAACAAAGCATGTGAATAATTAAAGTGGGGCTTGGCTCATAATAAGAACTCAGACAAGATTATCTTCGGGGCTGTGGAATTTGCTCAGCAAAATTGTGTGCTTCATGTGTGTGAGGCCAAGTTTAATCCTCAGCACCTGAAAAGAGAATTTTATCCTAAAATACCAAAGGAACGGGAAATAATAAATATGAGGGAAACCGGTGTAGTGATAGGCAAGTATGGTTCCTGGGCAGATGAAACAAGAGGCTCAGATGTGACTATGTGCAGGGCCACCACAATAGCACAGTTTCAAATCCAGACTGACTCGGGTGTATGGACTGGCCGCTCTGACCCCTTGGTTCAGAACATGCTCACCAAATCTCATTCTTTTGTGTCAGAGAGATAGTACAGGGGTTAATGCACTTTCTCTGGTTTCAATCCTTGCTACCACACATGGACTCCAGAACAAAGTTAGGAATGATCCCTGAGAATGTGCCTGCCATAGAGGCAGGGGGGTGTAGTGGGAGGGATACTGGGAACATTGGTGGTGGAGAATGGGCACTGGTGGAGGGATGGGTACTCGATCATTGTATGACTGAAACGTAAGCACTAAAGTTTGTAAGTTTTTAACTGTACCTCACAGTGATTCATTAAAAAAAAATTTAAAAAAAGGAGTGATCCCTGAACACAGAGCAAAGAGCAAGCCCTAAACACAGCTGGGTGTGGCTCAAATCATCATCCTCATCATCATCCTCCTCCTCATCATCATCATCAACATCATCAATAATTGTAAAAGCAACTATTTTACTGTTTTTCTTCTTTCTTTTACTATGTTGACTAACTTAGGATACTAGAATCAGGCTGTTTTAGAAAAAAGAAAAAGCAACAGAACTTGGAGGTGCCCCTCCCCACTAGCCTGGGCAATCTATGTTATCTTTGAACTTGGCTTCCTCAGCTAGAAAACAAAGAGGCAGGACCAATCATTGTGGATCACTAGAATTTCATCTCTAGCTGCATTTGAGGAGACACTCGTGATGACCTGATAGTATAAATCCATCCAACTCTTGGTTCACCAAAAACAGCCACAAGGGTCAGATAGACAACTAAACTGAAGATGAGTCAGATGCAGGGAGACCCAGAGGCCTGAAAAATGGCAAATGCCCTTTCTAAAAAGGAGCAGCCAAGGCACTTACTGCCAATTCTCAGTGTCAGAAGAAATCAGAAATCTAGATCTCTTACTTGTTTTTCACTTTTGCTTTTGAACCACACCTGGTGGTGTTTGGTTCTTACTCCTGGCTCCATGCTCAAGCATTATTCTAGGTGTTTCTCAAGGGACCATATGCAGTGCCAGGGATAGAGCCAGGGTGGGGCAAGTAGCTTACCCCTAAACCATGAATCTCTGTATTTTTTTTCTGTTTTTGTTGTTGTTTTGTGTTTTGGACCTGGCCTGTTCAGGGGCTACTCCTCCAGGGTCATTCCTGGTTGTGCATGGAGGACCAGTCAGTATCAGGTGTCAAACTGGACTTTCTGTCTGCAAAACATGCACTTGGCCTATTGAGCCATCTCTGGTCCAGAAATCTGCTCTTAATAAGTAATGTCCCAAACTTAGATCTAAGCAAGGCAAAGGGCACATCTGAGAGTTATGTTGCAGGCTGCAGGCTGCAGGTTGAAACTGCTATGAAAACTCACTTCTTTTGCTCCTTCCACAAGCTCTGATGCATTAAGTAGCCATTTTATGTAATTCAAGATAGTGTAGGGTCTTCCTTAATTCATTTCAATGTATGAAGTAAAGAAATTAAGTAAAGATATTTCCTTATATTGAAAAGTAAAAGCAAGGCGATAAGAGTCCCAAATAAACACTTTAGTCTAAAGTTTCAAATAGATTTCACGAAAACATATTTTATTTATTCTAATGCAGCAGGAAATTGTCCAAATATGTAGTCATCAGACGTGAAATTCAGTGGCACTTAAGATACGTATTATTAGACAATTATAACCAACAGGTAGATTTTCAACTCCACGGTTATTAACATAAAAATTACAGTGTGACTAGTAGATCATTAGTACCGACAATGTGGCAAATAGATTAAATTACAAATTTTTACATTTGTACATAACTCATTTTACAAATAAATGTTTAAAACCGAACTGCCCAATTTCTATCTAAACACTAAAAGGTTGCTGAACATAAAGTCTGCAATAAATATTCCCTTGTCTGGGAGAAATGCTTTTACATACTGTGTTACAATGAATAGCTGAATAAACATTTTAAATGTTAAACTCCCATGGTTACTGGAATCTTAAATTCTGTAAAACCTCTTATATTTTAAACAAAATTTAGTTATTAGTTCAAAAAGAAGCAATTCTCATGAGATTAATATTATTCATGGTTAGGTGCTTTCAAAAATTCATAAAATAAGTTGTCACCATCCCCTTAGTTTACTTAGTAGTTAATTTTTAAAGTGAACATTCTATAATTCTTATCAGGGTTTCAATTTTCCTTATTGAGATATATATTCATATTAAAACTCACCAAATAACTTATAATGGAAAAAGGAGAACACATTAGCCCTTTACTAAGTAGTCTGGTGGAATTGTCCAATAACATGTGCTCAGTCAATGTTAAAGTTGACCACTGACATGTTATGGCCACTGTTTTCTAAGCCAAAAAAAGATTGAGCTAATACCAGAATTCAGTGTTTCCACCTAATTCCATTCTGTGACTGAGACCCAAGAACCTGAACAATCACGATTGCTGTAGATTCCTAGCACTTTCCTCCACAATGTGGCTGTGCATCCGGAGAATTTCCTTCTAAATACTTGCAACAAGCAGCTCTCTGCCTCTCTGGTCTCCTGTTCCACGGAGGATTAATGTCCATGGCCTGTCAACTGGAGCCAAAGTCCGGACAGCTCTTCCCGGGCAGCGGGGGTTCCTGCTGCAGTGGATAAGCAAAGTACTGGGGGGACACCAGGAAACCAGACGGCTGGGTCAGGTGGATTGGGTGACCTGTGGTATAAGGTGGTGGTGGGGAGGACACCAGGCAGCCTGGCTCCGTTCTGGCCAGGGAGAACCTGCGGATGGAGCCTCCGGTGGAGCTAGAACTGGTGGCTGTGCTGGACTGCCGGGAAGGAGCCCTGAGATTTGTGGAGGTCAAGATCATGGGCAGGGTCTCTGTCTGGTAGCTGCGGAGCGAGAAGCGGATTGGCTGTTGGGAGGGCTCCTTGGGTCTCAAGCAGGTGCAGCAATAGATGGCCACTAAAGAGCCCAGGATAATGAAGGCGATGAAGATGGACCCGACGATCAGGAACGGGACGTAGACAGGCTCTGCAAGGCAACAACAGACATGCGCAGAAGATCAGACCTGGCTCTCCCTAACTCCAGCCCACTTAGTGGTGGCATGTGGGATGGTCCATAGGACCACTGCTGTCAGCCCGAGTTCCCAGGACTTGTAACTGGTAACCTCTAAAGTACAAACTGTAATGCCACTATATCCCTGCTCTTATGAGGGGAGGAAGCCAACTGATACCTTTGTCTCTGTTTACAATTAGCCATCTTACTGCACATCTGGAAGTCAGACCAGAATTTATCCTTCCGTTCATGTACTTCAGGGAGGGCAGAGGCTTTAGGGTTTTGTTCGTGTTTGCTTTTTGGTTACTATTACCTTAAATTTAAATCCAGGGTTTAGGACAGGGGAGATAGTACAGTGCATAAGGCATTTGCTTTGCACATAGCCAACCTGGGCTCTGGCTCCCCATGTGGTCTCCTGAACCCTCCAGGAGTAATCCCTGAGCACAGAGCCAGGTGTAAACGGGGTGTGGGCCAGCCCTCCCATCCCAGTAAATCCAGGATTTTGTGGTTTTATGGTAGGGCACTTAGGACTTTTTGACCTATCTCCAAGACCGAAAATCCATCTCCTATCCGAAACTTTCCAATCCAAGCAAAGAGAACCAAATGTGTTCAATGAATTCTGGGGGTGCCACCTGCTCTTAGTTGTGTCCGCACCGCCCACCCTAGCACCTTCCTGACCGCAACACCTTCCCCAGCTGCGCGGGCAACCGCCCCCCACCCCCAAACACACACCCTAGCACCTTCCTGGCCGCAACACCCTCCCCCACCTCCCCGCGCTCCCATCACTCATGTTTTGATTCAGGTGAAACGCTTTGTTAAAAAAAAGCTGGTGTAATGTTCCTCGGCGGGGTCGTGATTTATTCCGCTCTGAAGTGAGCGGAAATTTGACCCGTGTTTTCCGACGTGAGAATAGGAGGCGGAGAAGCCCCTGCGACCCTAGTTTCTAAATCTCCACCTCGAGGACCTGAACTTTTCTGAAAGGCCTGACAATAGGGGGTGGGCCAGAGAGGGTAATTCGATGCAGAGAAATGAAAGAAAGGTTGGGAGAAAGAGGCAACGGTTTAGAAAAGGGACACACACATAAAAGGGGGAGGGGAGCGGTTGACCGCTGAAGTCCCGAAGCCCCGCGGACTGCAGATAGTTACCCCGCTCCACAAGCACGTCTCCAAATTCTCGGGCGCGCCAACAGACATCGAACCCACTCCTCTAAAATGCCAACGCCACAGCCCCCCAAACCTCTTGCAGTCCCTGTCTGCACCTCCGCAGCACCTGGAAACTAAGACGCTCTTAGCCGCGTAGTCTCGGCTGAGTAGGTGCAAACTCTTCCCTGGGCCGACCAGCCCGGACCGCGTGCGCAGGATTCAGGACTGCAAAAGGAACACCACCCCTCCTTCCCCCGCCCCCTTCCTCCACCCAGGACCTAAAACGCGACCACCTAACTTCTCCCTAGAAACTCCGGTCCCGCCGCGTCCGCTGCGCTCAGCCCCAGCCCGGCCTGGGGTCGCGCGCAGGTTTCCGAGCTCCGCGGCCGCGGTCCGGGCAGCGCCCCCGGGACTGGGCCTGCAACTTACGCGCGGTGATGCCCGGGTGCTCCAGCTCCCCTCGGTCGTTGGTGCAGCCGCCCTGCTCCAGCCTGGCGTCGGCCGCGGCGCAGCAGTAGCGCAGGGCACAAGAGCCACAGCAGATGGTGGCGTCCAGCGTGTCGAAGTCCTCCGGGCACTGGAAGCCCTCGTGGTAGTTGCCTTGCACATCCACCCAGCCGTGGCAGTACTCTCCGGACGGCTGGGCGTCTGCCGGGCTCCAGCAGAACCAGCCCAGGAGGAGGCAGAGCGCCAGCAGCGCCCCCATCGCCACTGGGCGCCCTGGGCGGCCGCGAAGCGCGGGGACGCAGCTGGAAAACCAAGGGCCGAGCCGGGGTTCGGGGCGCACCGCGGGTCCGCCTCCCCGGGGGGCGCGGCGCGACTGACCGCGAAGCCACTCCCGAGCGGGTTAGAAGGGACCCGGGAGGCGGGAGAGAAGGCGCGGAGCACCCCGCTGCCCCGAGATGGGCATGATGGGCCGGCAGGACCTGGAGAGGGGCCTCGGGAGGCGCCGGCGTTGGTAACTGCAGGGGCCGCTGCTACCGCCCTGCGCTCGGCTCATAATGCTCCGGGCGCTAGGGTCCCTCTCCGGTCCTCGCCGGAGCCGTCGCGCCTGGGACTGGCACCTCCGTGGCGTGTCCCCCACCCCCACCCCACTCCCACCCCCGGCAGAGCGCAAAGGGAAGAGGATGTGTGGCCCACGTGCGGGTCCCCGCGCCCCCAAGGCTCGCCGCCCCCACCCCTAGCTGTCACGGGAAACGGAGTTGCGGCCGGTCCCGGCCAAGCACAAACGGCCTCCCGCTTTGCTGACAGCTCTGCCTGCAAGGCGTCCTTTAAAAGGAGGGAGGGAGGGAGGGAAGGAGGGAGGGAGGGAGGGGGAGACCGCGGGGGTTCAGAAAGAGTCCGCCCTCCCGGGGCGCGAAGCCGCAGCTAATCACATCGGGCGCCGAGCGGCCCGCGGGTCCCCAGCGCTTTCGCCTTCGCGCGCAGCCTCTCCCCGGCCACCAGCCCTCCCCCCTCTGCCCCCCACTCCACCTCGCTCCCAGGGATTCGGGAGCAAAACCGAAGGGGAATCGTGTCCTCCCTTTGCCCACCTCGTCTCTGGCCCAGACCCTGAAGGGGTGGGGGGGCGGGGGAAGAAACAGAGACAGAGACAAAGAGACAGAGAGACAGAGAGGGAGCGCTGCTGGATTGCCGCGTGTCTCGGTGCGCGCGGGTGGAGATGCGGGGTACGCTTTTTATTGAGAGTAATAAAACACGAGAGCGGTCACTGGAGGTTATCGACTCTTGGGTGTCCCGGCACATCCGTCTGGGCTCGCTGGCTACTGGGACAGTTAAGAGAATAATTTTTTCGGGGTCACCAACATTTGCGCTGCGTTTTCCCACCGCCGTTTCCAACATTCCAAGGCCCGTAGCGTACATTTTCACAGGCGCCTCTCTAGGGAACATCCCTTCACCCCTCCGGCCAGTGGCCAGCGCTCTGGGCCCGTCACACAGCCGTGGGCAGCCAACAAACGCTCCAGGAGCGCGGCTTCTTCGTTCACGCCTGCAAAGGAAATACAAGGACCAAATTAATGATATTTGAGCAGATCTGAACTTCTGTTCGGGCAAAGAAACACATTTGTTTAAATGATGAGTCCCCTGTGGGCGATTTTCAGGGGCCCTGCTCCTTTAGCCGCCTAAGTGCTTTACGAAACGGTGTTACGTGAAACCTGGGCTCAGCTAAAGAATTTGTCTTTACTGCATCCTCAACTTCCCCCTGGTTTACTGCTGTGTGTGTATCTCCGCCTAAGTGTCAAACACGCAGGATGCCCGTGTCACAGACTTGGTTGTTGGCAAGTGGAGTTAAGAGGAAAGGGGTAGAGTTCCGCGCCGACGCGGAAGTGTGCGGTCCACATTCACGACGGCTGCCCTCTTTTCCCCCATCATCGTTGGTCAGAAAAACTGTTTTCACAAGTTAAATAAAACGATTTCTTTTTTTTAAAATTGAAGGTCAGGTATGCACCAAGTAAAAACTGACTTCTGTTCTTAAGTATAGGAATTCGTATTTAGTTAGAAGGCTGTCAAAATAATGCCCAACATTTCAAGTACTAAGTGGGATTGTGTAAATATTTATTGCTCCCTTAGAAATAGATGCTTCTTGGGGACAATCATCCAGAAACACCAAATTATGCTCAAACTTTGCTTCAAGAACAAAACAATGGGATGCTTTCCTTGGTTTACTTAATCAACTTAAATTAAGCATATGGAACATTGGTTTTTTTTTTGGTGGGAATTTCTTAAGGCAGTGTGTTTTTATTTATTTTAAAGTTGTGGCCAGTTGTAAAGTGTTTTTAAGCTGTTTTTAGGAGTATTGTTTGACTTGTGTATACCCTGAGCAATTAAGGGAGGAAAAGCATTTAAACCACAGCAAAAGTGAGTTACAGTGATCATAACAAGATGATAAAAACTCAAAAGACATGGTTACTGCTAATAACTTTTCCAGAACCACACCTTCTAATATCATTTTTGTTAAAATGTAATATAAATGTTAAAATTACATCACAATTACATAAAGTTCTGAAGTGGCTGCAGCGAACAGGACTAGTCCCCAGGGTTCAGTTTCTCTCATTATCCAGCTGTTCTTTGATAGCTTTCATATTTTAAAGCGTGACTTGTTGGCACTTACCTCCCATTAATTATATTCCTCATGCCACGGTGGGGTTCTTTTCCTTGGGACACTAGCTATAATTAACGCCCTCTTTCAAAGCTCCTATCACTTTGGCTTATTTAGAGGGCATTTTGCTCAAATTTGATAGAATGATATTTACTAATGGAAAATGATAGCCAAACTTCCCAATGACTTGATAATCCATAGTTCCGATATGTACAACATGAAGACAACTATTCCCTATGCTTTCCAAACTAGGACCTGATCTGAAATGTTTTTAAACTTTTCCAGGACTTTGAACAATGAGATAAATGAGTTTGACTCCTTGCGATTAGAGATATTTACCAAGTTTACTATAACTTGAACTGCAAAATAATTATGTTCACAAAGTGCTCTTTGCCAATACTAAGGGAATATACTCCTTTTTCAGGCTTATAAATACCAATCTTTTTTCATCAAAAGGGAACATTTTTAAAGTCCTGAATGAATTCCTCTCCTAGGTTAAGGATTTAGGGTAGGAGGCAGGGTGTGGAGAGCGGGTAGATGGAAAAATAGAATCGACATGAATAGGAATGATATGTAGAGGTTTTAGAAAGTCTGTATTTTTCCTTTTCTTTGTAACACAAATTCCATGTTTTGGTGAAGAGCACAATCATAAGAGACCATTTCTTTAGCCTACGTTCTCTTGTGGCTCTGCCTCCAGGAAATTCTAGAGGAAATGAGTTAAATGATATGATGTCTGGGATTTGCTATAATAAATGCCAGAGAAAGAGAGGGGAAAAGGAGAGGGGGAGGGGGAAAGGGGAGGAGAGGGAGAGAGAGAATGAGAGTGAGAGACACAAAGAGAGAGAAGGAAGGAGAAAGGAAGGAGGGTGGGAAGGAAAAGTAAGTGGGGAAGAAGTGGGGTGGAAGGGAAAACGGAAAAGAAATAGAGAAGGGTGGGCCAGAACCCAGAGCAGTAGTATAGTGGGTAGGGTGCTTGCCTTGCAGGCAGCCAACCCAGGTTTTAGCCCAGCAACCTATATGATCCCCCAAACAACACCAGGAGTGATTCTTGAGTGTAGAGCCAAGTGGGAACCCTAAGCACTGCTGGGCGTAACACCTCTCCCACCTCTACCCTCATAAAAAGAAAAACAATGGAGATGAAGATGAGTCTATAAAACTGAAACACAACAGCAGTGTGTTGACAATTAGCTAGGTGAAAGGTCCCTGTAAAATCAAAAGCAGTTAATGCATTAACAAAAATTAACATAGTAAAAACAAATAGAATGCTGATGTGAAATGCTCCTCAGCACAAGATGGTATCAGGGAGGAGAGGTGGAGTGGACCAGAGCCTACCTTACAGGCAAAATGGACAACTTCTAGAAGCTGGGCAGCATGTCTAACCAGCACAGCCTACAGAGTGAGCTCCAAAGACAGGAAACGGGTCAGTTTTCGGCAAAGAGGATGACATACAGTTCCCACAAAGTTATGGGTTGTTTTTCTTTTTTCAAGAAAACCTCCATGTTTGAGAGGAGGAACAGTGGAAAGCACAATTGGGGAGCATGCTATGGACATAGATGATCATACACACATGAATAGGGAACGAGCTGTGTTTTTGGTGTGCTAATGGGGGAAAGAGGGACTGTAGGTGGAGGGCCCTATATTCCTGCGATAGCACAGCGGGTAGGGCGTTCGCCTTACAAGCGGCCAACATGGCCGACCCGAGTTCGATTCCTCCGCCCCTCTCGGAGAGCCTGGCAAGCTACCGAGAGTATTGGATATGCCAGACACAGTAACAACAAAGTCTCCAATGGAGACGTTACTGGGCCCGCTCGAGCAAATCGAGTCAGCAACATTGTGGAAGCATGGGGAGGTACTATCACTATATCACTGTATCACTGTCGTCCTGTTATCGATTTGCTTGAGTGGGCACCAGTAGCGTCTCCATTTGTCCCAGCCCTGAGATTTAGTATCCTCTCCTTACTCATCCTTCCCAACGCTGCTGTATTGGAGGCTCTTTCAGGGTCAGAGGAATGAGACCCATTATTGTTACTGTTTTTGGCAAATCAAATATGGTAGCTTGCCAGACTCTGCTGTGTGGGAAAGGGATGCTATAGCCTACAAAATATAAACCTTAGGCCATTTTGCTTTTGGCTTACTTTTGTTGCCATGTGGAAGGTGTCGCTACATCTCAGTTCTGTGCTCAGGATCAAACCCCTAGAGGGGCTCAGGGAAAATACATGGGACAGGGGAAGGAGCTGGGGTCAACTGCATACATTTCAGGCAAGGCAAGTGCCTTACCCCCTGTACTATTTCCCTGGCCCTATTCTGTTTGTTGGTTGGTTGTTTTTTTGTTTGTTTGCTTTTTTTTTCCTTTCGCCAGACTTTATCTAATAAGGTTTCTGGGGTTCATTCACTTATGTGTTTGCTTGTTTGTTTTTGTGGGGTGAGAAGGAGAACAAAGTGGCAGAACTTTTATTTGATTGCAGTGGAAATAATGAAATTGAATAAATGACAACATATTAGTTCTTCCAATGCATTTACTATGACTTGCAATAACATTATGATAGGGTGTCTGACTTTTGCAGTTATTTACCCCCCTTTTTCACTACTGTATCTTGGAAGTTAACAGAGCCAGGTACATGGTGAGTGCTCAGTTAACACTGAGTAGAAAAAAGACTGAATATGAGCCTGGACCACTGATGAAATATAATGAAACGCTGGCTTGCATTTCATTATGAGGTAGAGCTACAGCAAGAGAGTCTGGGTGCTCTTTCAGTGAAAAGGAGAGAGGATTTATGGAGCAGAAGATGTTGGAGAGTCAATTCATAGTGATTTGATTGCAAATATATCTCACCCCAAACTGTTCAGGGAGTTGGCACTACCAGAACAGAGCATTCACCAAGTCCTTCCCCATGGACATAGGGATGCACTTTTCCAATGAACAATGCCATGACTCTGAGAATGTTAGCCAACACATTCAAAAAAATCTCTGGC